AATCTGCGGATAGGCCCCGCCGGGCCCCCACCGCCTGGAGACACGGCGCACGACGTTTCAACCAACCGTCTCCGGTTTCTGCCGGTTTGGTGCCAGCCAGCCTCCTCCTGAAGGAGAGACCGCAATGATGTGCACCAGACATTTAGAGAGCCGCTCCAATCACCTTCGGTGTCCTAGCCGAGGTGACGCTGATCTTAACTACACCAGCCGTGACAACGCTGTTCCAACCCCATATTGCTTCTGAATTTGCTCACTATGCGCTCTGTGAGGACTTCTCCAGTTTGGATGACAGGCCAGAGGAGTGTTAAGACCGCGGTGTATGGACTCTGTGCTCTAGTCTTCACCAATAGGCTCCAGAGCTGTGCGCAGCCATGATTTCTTTCCCCACCAATTTTAGCAAAGCTTTGTCAGAATGAAAAAAAAAAAACCGCATGGAGGGAAGAAAAGCTGAGGCAAGTGCCAAAAGCCGACGCTGGGTCTGATGCAGTAGATTCTGAAGCATCTGTCCATGTCCGTACTGCTTCCTTACTCATCCAGTTCAGGGTCAGGGGTAGGAGGAGCCAGAGTCTACCCCGGCAAGCAACGGGGTGCAAGGCAGGATACACCCTGTACGGGACCCCGGTCCATTGCAGCGCACAGATACAAACACACACACACCCACTCAACAGGGCCAGGTCTACCAGAAGCCCATTAATTAACCTGCCAAGGTGTCACAGAGAGAGAGCATGCAAACTCCAAGACTGCACCCCAGGAGCTGAACCAGGGCTCCAGTGCTGAACACTGCACCACAGTGCACCACAAAACATACATGAGGCACTTATGGAGCAAGTCATAGGTTTATTCCCTGCTGAAAAGAGAAGAAAGAAAACACAACGTTTCGGCTGTGGAGCCTTCTTCCGGTGAACTTATTCATAGAAACTTAGTACTTGCACGAGATACATGGTTAGTATGTCCCTTATGTTATGCATTTCATATTAAAATGCACTTTAAATCAATCTACAGTTACCTAAAATATAGTCTGCATTCCTTTTATTACTAAATTAACTTTATTTTCTTTTAGATACATTTTAATTCGATACGCTTTTATAAATAAAGTAAATAAGAACTCGAGAAAGAACACAAACAGAAGAGCCCATTGAGCCCTCCTTGCCCGTTAGGAATAAATCATTTAGTTCAGATAAACCAGTTTAGAGATTTTTTTCTTTGCGGTTTCTCCCCTGTTTAAATTCAGAATCTCGGAACGAAACTGCAGACTGGTGTAGAAAGTGCAGAGCCAAAACTCAAGGTTCAAGAGATTTTGTTGAGAGAGGTGAGTAACTTGTCTACTTTTTGGGAGGAGGAACAAGTAGACAGTTGTTAATTGTTCAATTGTTATTTTCTAATTCATTAAAGGAACTGTTATATTTTTGGCTAGAAACAAGGGAAAAGATTTCTTTTTCCATTTAATGTCTAGAATAAGCTGTTGCACCTCTTGAAGGGGGGCAGACTGGATTTTTGTGGTCTTGTACATCAGACTTATGACTTCATGGGGTCTGCTATTCCACCTTTGTTGTCCACTAGGTGTGTGAATAAAGTATGAAGTATGAGTTAAAAGGCTAGGAACAGAAAAATTGCTGAAACAATGTTGCATAAAGGAATCCAGGACTCGGAAAAGGTTATCTTCTTCGCTTGCCTCATAGGAAAGAAAGCAACTATTTTTAGCGTCTCTTCTGGATGGCTGTTTTGTTCTGCATTCCTTTATCCGAGCTGGATCTCTGCCTGGCACACCTCTCCACCTCACATGGAGAGGGTTTGACCTGCTAGTTTCTTTTAGAAAGAAGAGCCAAGGTCACAAAAATGAGGAGGGCATTGGGCCTGTTGAGTTCATTTCTAAGCAAAAATCTCTGTGCTCTGACCCCAAGCTTCTCTCCCTGTCTGTGTGTCTCACGGAGAGCAAGCTGGGGTATGCGAAAAGACAAATTCCTAATGCAAGAAATTGTATATGGCCAATAAAGTGATCTGATCTTCATTTGGTTACCACTGGGTAATTCAAGGATCTTATCCAGCCACTTCTGGAAAGAAGCTTTACTGAGAGACTGGTTTATTTGTGTAGATGACTTTGTAAGCAGATAATTTTCCCTGGGTCATATTTTCTCCTGCGGGTTGTAGCCTAACAATACTGCCACTGTAAGGGGTTGTGTGTAACAGAAGCAGAAATACTGTGTGTGTGTGTGTGTGTGTGTGTGTGTGTGTGTGTGTGTGTGTGTGTGTGTGTGTTCGAATACAACAAACTCCCTCTGGAATCAGAAGCGAGTCAGCATCTGACTCTGCTGCGTCTGGCTGGTGTTAATGTTAGCGTTAATAATGCAGGCAGCAGCATCTGTTCACGAGGGGGACGGATCCAGACTCTCCACCCCCTGCAATCAGCTTAACACTCGGAGAAAAACAGGTGAAGCATTTGAAGAAAAGAACACCTTACCCACGGTCAAGCCTGGGGGTGGATCCCTTATGCTTTGGGGTTGTGTGGCAGCCAGTGGCACAGGGAATATTGTGTGGGTGGAAGGAAGAATGGATTCAACCCAATCTCAACAAAGTTTAGAAACTAATGCCCCACAGTCAAAATCATACCTCAAAATCAACCATGAAATACTTACAGGAACAAAAGATTAAGGTTTTGGAAGGGCCTTCACAATCCCCAGACTTGAATATTATTGAAGAGCTGTGGGGAGATTTCAAACATGCAAAAAGACCTAAGAGTATTTATGAGCTAGAAGAGTTCTGCAAAGAAAAGTGGGGGTTGGGAAAATCTTATAGCAAAAATATCAAGACTCTTGACAAAAAAAATGTTTGGAAGCTGCAATGTCTGCCAAAAGAGGCGTTACTAAATACTGACAGGGTCCCCAAACGTTCGTTCATGCCACATTCACCATTTTATTTTTCCCCAATATGTTAAATTCAGCGAATAGCAATTATGCATTAAAATATGCAGAAATATCATGTTTAAGTTCATACGCTGCAGAGACTGCGTTAACTTCTTTTCACTTTGAGACTCTGTAAAACGAGCAACTTGACCAGGGATCCCCAAACGTTTGCACACAACTCTAGATGTTTATTTTCATTGCTGCTACTGCATAGTCCCATAGACGCTCATGTTCCACTTTCATTTCCCCCTAGGGGTTAATCAGTACTGTTGCTTTATTCTCGTTTACTAATGTAAAATAAAAGTATAATCGAGGGAGCATTAGAAGTGTGGAGATGCTGCTGTCGAAAGTCATCCGCCTCTTTGGCCTGACTAAACATCGGGTTTTAGATCATGCTTTTTGACTTCTTAAAATAGAACCGGTTAACTGAATGTTAAATATGCATCACCCTTATAAGGGGCAGATCAGTGGCTCTGTGGCTGAGGATCTGCACCTGCAGCTGGAAGGTTGCTGGTTCAAATCCTGTGGCCGGTCGGAGGAATCCTACTCCATTGGGCCCCTGAGCAAGGCCCTTCACCCCAGCTGCTCCAGGGGTGCTGTATAAATGGCTGACCCTGCGCTCTGACCCCCAGCTTCTCTCCCTGTCTGTGTGTCTCATGGAGAGCAAGGTGGGGTATGTGAAAATACAAATTCCTAATGCAAGAAATTGTATAGGGCCAATAAAGTGATCTTATCACTTATCTTATAATAAGAAAGCAAACCTCTTCGCAGTTCAGCATAATGCAGAAATTATTGAGCCAGCTTCAATGTATTACTTAAAATCATGCGTTACAGAATAAAACACAGGGACAGGATTACAGTTAGAATGCTTTGGTCTAATATTTGTGATGCTGCTCCCAGCCAAGGCTTTGTTTTCCCACCAAAAGCGTTCAACTGCGGTGCCATACACAATTGTCACTAGAGGGCGCTAGTTCCTCCACAAAAAACAAACAAACGGCAGGCTTACAAGGTGACACCTCCTGCAGCATCAGATCATGTTAATTTTATTGAACAAAAACAAGACAAGTAATTCACAGTGGGTGACACAGGCCGGAAGAGAGAGAGGGCTGGTCCTCGTGGATCCGCCTGCTCTAGGGGGTCTCTCCTGAGCCGGCTTCGGACGCAGGCCTGGAGAAACAAGCAGCTGAACGTCACTGGTATTGAAAGGGGGAGAGAGAGGGAAGGGTGACTGAACGACAAGAAAAGGGCCGAAAGGGAGAACAAGAAGAACAGGGCGGTACTGGAGAAGGAGTGTGGTGATCTACTGGGTTATTCCCATCACCCCCGACCTGAGCCGACAGGACAGATCTGCAGGAGTGTTCAATTTTTACCATTAACTTCAGACAATACAACAGACAACATTAAGTGTCAGGTCCTTGAGAAAATGCATATGCTATGCAGTAAAAAAAAAATAGCCTAGAGGACATTCTGTAGGAGCTAAAAGGTAGCAATATCCCCATTACTGTGATCAGTAACACTATTTTTGCTTAATATTTTAAGTAAAAAAAAAAAACTTTTGTTACAAATGAGGTTCTTTTGAAATATGCTCCATATTCTACATTTCACCACTTTGTTTTAATGCTGGAAGGGAGTGGTTAACTTTAATGAGCAGTTAAAAAAAAAAGGTTGAAGGAAGTTATTGGGCTCATTTATAGAAGGAATACCACCTAAAGAGTCTACTAGAAATTATGTATCATTCAGACATTTTCGTAAAAAGATTTACTAAATCTCCCAATTCAAAGACATAATGTGGCTAACCTATTAAAAGGAGGAGTGGAGGCAAGCTCATCATTGGCATTTCCAAATCTCCTTTATTTAACCCACAGGCCTCTCCTGTAAGATTTAACAACAAGCCAATAAAGACCGTAACGTTCTTGCTTACAAACCACTAGAGGGAAAACTCTCTACCCTTCCCTACTTTCAGGGGAAAAAAACAAAACATAAGCTCTGTAATATACCATCTTTACAAACGTAACCAAGTTTGACCGTGTTATTTGCAACATCACCCCTCCTTTGCATACATACAGTATTACCCAGCTTCTCCCGGATCAAAGATAGACGCAGCTGGGATGTTTTCAGTCTCCATCTTCTACTGTTTTAAAGCTGGGCACATAATTAAGTTATAAAGTGGGTTATTTTCCCTTAAAAGAGGTGACTCTGTGGGGCTGGTTGTGTGGCGAGTCAGAACCCTGTCTGTAACCGAGACACTTGCCTGGACTGGGTGCCAAGGTCGGCTGGGGCTTCGCAGCCCACAAACGCCTTGTTGTCATATGCGTACTGCAGCAAGGCACTGAAACACGGGTCCTACAGCAACACACGACAAGCACACAGGATTGTTAGAATACAACGGCAACACATGGCCTCATAATGTCATAACATAACGATAATATCGCATAACACGCCCACAGTGGCCTACACTTGTGCTCTGAAACATAGCTGTCCCTCTATTCCTCAGCTGCCCTGGCCAACTCCAGTAACAGGGAAGAACGTTTCCGTGTGAAGTGGATTCTTTCAGCCCAGTGCGCTGAGAGGAGTATTTGAAGGGGGTGCCAGTTCAGGGTGCAGAGAGCAGCGCATGGAGTGGATTCTTAGTCCGAGAGGAGGAGTATTTGAAGGGGGTGCCAGTTCAGGGTGCAGAGAGCAGTACGAAGGTGTGGGGAAGCAGGTCAGACCTTATTGAGCACGTGCGGGTTGCCCACAATGATGAGCAGGGCCTTCGGACGGGTGATTGCCACGTTGAAGCGCTTGGGGTTGGCGAGGAAGCCCAGCACGCCCTGCCCATCCTCTCCCAGCTGGTCCTCATTGGAGCGCACCTGGAGAAAACAGCCCACGATATAGCAGCGGTCGTCCTCATGCAGTCACTGCATAACACACCTGGAGGTGCACACTCCACAGCACGTGTGCAGAGTGCGTGTGTGTGTGCGCGCGCACGCAACACTCACAGCCCTGAAATTCAGCCAAATACAGAGCCGCCTGCGAAACAACTGGCGCCGTTCACACCCACAGCGCAGGGGAGGGCTGTTACCGTTGAGAGGACGATGACCAGGAACTCCTGCCCCTGGAACTCCTCCACCGAGCCCACCTTGATCTCCATCAGCCCCACGCGCTGCAGCAGCACCCTGATCTTCTCCACCTGGGAGAGGCAGAGGCGCACAACAGCCCCCCAAAAAAGGAAGAGACCGTCATCTCCACATGTTTTGTTTCAACCACTATTTTCTTCTTGACAAAACCTTCTCTAGAGTAACAGAGTGCGTCTGTTGATAAGGCAGGGACAGACCCTACCTGCTTCTTGTAAGGGGTGATGATGCCAATGTCAGAGGGGGCGATAGGTCTGTAGAGCCTCTTGGCCAGCTGGCAGCAGTACAGCATTGCCTGGACGGCCTCCGCAGGGTTAAACCAAGACGGATTACTGCCCTCCCGCATCTCAGTGCCCTGGGAGGCAGAGAGGAAACAGGGAGACGAGCACCACCTGTCTCGATTTAAACGGTTGGAATATAACATCCCTAGTGACGTCTCCGATTTATTGTAAAATGGAGGCTGTGCTATGAGAGCCATTACACTGAGCCTGATTAAACTTAAATAATGTTAAATATTTTGAATAAGTTGAGCTTGAATGTTGGAAGAAGACCGCCTTCATAAATAATTTTTTACATTTATATAGCTCTTTTCTGGACACTCTACTCAAAATGTTTTACAGGCAATGGGGGCTCCCTTTAACCCCCAGCACCGACGTGCAGCCCCACCTGGATGATGTGACGGCAGCCATAGTGCTCCAGTACACTCCACACACACCAGCTCTCAGTGGGGAGGAGAACAGAGTGA